TTCGTTATTTGCTTTATCAGCCAATTGGTGAAAAGATCAAAACATGGACTCTTCATTTTCCCGCCAAAGAAAACCCTAATATGGGGAAGCCATTGTTCGATTGACCAATCGCGTTGCAGTATGACGTCAAAGCGAAGTATCAATTAATTTTTAGAAAGTTCTCGGGCATGAAGCTTTTTGGGCCTGAGCGTTCGCTTAACCAACCAAAACCCATGTACGTTTGTATACGTTCGATAAATCAATCAAATCACCCTATTTCCGTTCGTTTGTTGTTTTCGTTTTGTTGGCGCTTTCTTTATTTCAAGGTCATACTAAAATCGCTCTAACTAAGAAGAGCAATAAATGGCCCTAGGGAAGCAAAATGTGAGAGCTGCTTGCCGAAAGACCAAGCTAGCCGCTGGGATTCAAGTTTTTTATGGGCCTAGGGGCATAGGCGGTGGGTGTCGGGGTGTATACTTCCAAGGACGGGGACAGAAACAGGGTGCAAAGAAAGTCAGTTTTACAGCCTGCCATTCGGGCGAGCTGTAGCTAGCGTGTACTAACCTACAAGTTATTTCAACTAGCCCGAAAACCCTTTTTGATCAACAGGATTGATTACAATCCTTCTGTAATTTGAATTCCCCCCCGACAAAAAAAGAAAACAACAGCATTTGCCCGTCGGACAAGTAAAGAACAAAAATCACCAGCCCGATAGTAAAATCCACTAGCCCCGGGCTACTGGACACGACTTTCTTTGCACACTGCAGAAAACAAGGAGTCTCCACCTTGATAGCCTAAACACCAAAGCCCTGGGTACATTTCAAAGTAAGCGCTTGATCGCGACAATAAGGACACTAAATGACAGTTACGAAAAAATAAAATTAAGTAAATATATACAATGAATTACCTATGTCTTCCTCTCGTTCCTCATCAGTATGGGCCAGCCTATTTTGTACTGCCATCTGAAGTTCATACCGCTCTTGTATCTGTTAGCAGGAAAACGAAATCCGATCGATAAAGTAAGCTAAGCGAGAAGGAAACCATAAGAGGAAACTGTGGCAAAAAATGCTGAAAGTGGCTTTCGCTCTTGCCAGGCTTCGGGATATTTCATTTAAGACAAATTCCCGGGCGAACTAAGACCGCAATATGGTTGTGCAGCAATTAACTTCTTCCAAAAATGTTACATGGCCTTACAGATGAAAGAAGCAAAAGTTGCTTCTTCTATTTCCTTAGACTGCAATGTTCTAATACTATGAATAACCAGCAGACATTCACTAACTCCCCATGGTAAGTTAATTCCAGACAGTCTTGGGTTCTGGATTCCACTCTGTGGATTCCGGATGACAGGTACTTATTTCCAGTCTTTGCCAGTGGAAATTGAATTCCCGATTCAAATCGTTCGTTGCATTCCGGATTCCAAAGCTCAGGATTTCCGATTGCAGAAGAAAAATTTTCTCGAATACCAGAATCTGGATACCTTACATGGTGGGGTGAATCACCAGGTAAAGCAGTGATTTTTCAGCAAGCAAGTAAGTAAACACTTTATTCAGTGAGAGCATTACTAAATAGCTTAAAGCTAATAAACCTGCGGCCCTAGTGATAAACTTGTTAAAGTATTCAACTGCGTGGGTTGTCAGACAACCGCTGTTTGGAGACAACATGTTGGTGATCAGTATGTCTTAAAATTGTAAGTATGAAAAGATAACATCGAGTCAAAGAACGCACCGCTCTGCGGGTCTTTTCACTGAGTTCCTGACGATATTTGTTGCTATTCTCGTTGAACAAATGGAGACGAACCAGAAACTAAAAAGTAAAAAAAAACAACGTAAGGTCAGTGTCTACCAGAATTGTCCAATTATTGATAGTTTTATTGAATGGCAAGAGGACTGTGTATACTTTTCCTTTGTAAATAACACTCTGATGTTGGCTTAAGCTCCATTGTTTTGTGCCGTTATATGTGCGATGAATACAATAGTGCAATCCAGGTCAAAACGTTTGGGACACTTTGTCTTTCATATATGGAAAATGCAATGTGAGCGCTTACCATTCAGGTGAAAAATCCGGGAATTTCAGGGGGAACAAAAATGGATTTTCCGATAGGTAAAAAGTTGTTCCATTTGATCGTAAACCCCGGAACGGCGCCGAGCCCGTTACCCGATGGGACACCAAGATGGCTGCCGAGTTGGTAACAATTGAAACTGGTATAAAGTACGAGAAACGTGTAAAATAATGGAACACGAAATTCCGTTCGGAAAGTTCCAACCGGGAAAACGGCCCATCCTTTTTAGATTTTCCATTTTTTCCGGGAATTTTCCAGCAGGACGAACCAACGAAACGTTTTCCATTTTCAACCGAACCGAAATTTCCGAAAATTTTGACTAACTGGAAAGCGCGCTGTATCTACTATGTTTACAGAAACAGAGGCTCCTACAACAAAATTGATGTCTATGACTGTGAAACTCGGTCAACACATCTGATTGGATAATATGACACTTCATTGGCGACAAAATCAGATGAGACACTTCGCCCTAAAGGGGCTTTCAGACGTTTTACCGACTTCAAAAAGGGTTTTTACTTTATCTGCTACGTATACAAAAAATAGATGCTCCGTCGCTAAAATTCATGACCATGACTGTGAAACTCCTTCATCCACCTGACTGGATAATATCACACACAATCGGCGACATTTTTAGTTAAGGCGCTTCCCCCTAAAGGGGCTTTCTGACGTTTTGGCGACTCCAAAAACGGAAAAATAAAACTTTTCCTCCTCTTTCCCCTCCATGCAATGTTGTGTCGCTGTTCGAGCTACCTATAGAAAACAACAAACACCCCAACATCGAATGGAGGGTAGGGGGAGGAGGAGGGGTGTGGATTCTTTTGTTCTCTGAAGTTACCCTATTTGAGTACAGTTTAACCTCCCTACAACGGTCACCTTAGGGACAGAAGAACGTGGCCATTGTAAAGAGGTGGCCGTTGTAGAGAGGTTGAAAAAAGAGTGAATGTATGGGCTTTCCGCCAAAAAAAAAAAAAAAAATGGCCGTTGTAGACAGGTGGCCGTTAGTGGAAGTTCGACTGTACAATGTGTCAACAATTTTGTCGCCGATTGCAGGAGGTGCAGATATGTAGCGCGTTTTTTTTTGTTTTGGTCGCAAATAAGCTACATAATTTTGGTCGTGAGTGGAAAATTACTTACATCTTCTGGTAGATCTTTTCCCCATTCTGGTAGGTTAGGGATACGTGCCCTCGGCTTCCGTGTTGGGGAAGGTCTACAAAGAACGGACAGAGTACATAATTACATTTACAGATGACGGATAAAAATAGTCATAATAATTGTCTTCTTTGAACCCCTTAAATTACAGGTTTCGTCAGCACAGAAAAATGGGTACTGGAACATGGCGTTATAATAACTATCAAGTTGCCTGTCGGCCTAAAATAAATAAATCATGCTCATATATAAGATGGAATTTTAAATGGAGTAATGGAAATCAAAACGCCTGTCGTCCTTAAATAGACAAACAAGGATCAAAAGTACACAAGAAGATTGAACTACAGCCACATCCGGCAAGATTTGTTGTTAACAAAGTCTGCCCTCATGTTATTTTTTATTTACTTGAATGCTAACGTCATTGCTGTCTATTTGTTTCTGTTTTGTTTTGTTTTGCCTTGTTTTTGTTTTGTTTGCTTATCGTTATTATTGTGATGATGATGATGATGATGATGATGATGATGATGATGTTTTTCGGGATTCTCTTTCTAACCAAGCCCACTATTCGTTAGTCAGATGTTCTAACCTTGCTTCTGATGGAGGTCTTGGAGTTTTCCCTTGTTCCGGGGAAGGTGATCTGTGCAGCAATGGGGAAGTCACATACATAGGTGACGTTGAGGCTGCAAGAAAAAAAAAAGGATAAGGCGAAACAAACATTAGCCTGCGGACAAAAACGTATTTCTGGTCGTCGCTTCTCTCCATGCACCCGAAAAGTAGCTTAAAGTAACTTTTCGGGTGGAGGGAAGCGACGAATAGAAATACGTTTGTGTCCGAAGGCTAGCCAAACATTGGGAATGAAAGTCACCTTCGTGGGGATCAGGGGTAGGGAGGGTAAGGGAAGCTCCACCCGCGTATAGCGCGATGTTTGCAGTGTCGGCCGCAGGCTGACAGATCTTAGCCCGGAGGAAAACGCGCCCGTAGAGTCTCTGGTACCCACGGTAGTGTTCTGACTATCCTGAGTCGAAGGGTCCAGCAGCGTGCAAAGAAAGTAGTGTCCGATAGCCCGGGGCTGGTGGATTTTGCTATCGGGCTAGTGAATTCTGTTATTAACTTGGCCCACGGGCAAGTGAAGTTTTTTGAGGAAATCAAATTACAGAAGAACTGTAAAAACCATCTGCTAATCAAAACGTTTTTGGGGCTAGTTGAAATGATGTTTGGGCTAGTAAATGTTGGCTTCAGCTTGCCCGAATGGCAAGCTGTAAAAATGACTTTCTTTGCACCCTGGGTTGCTATACTACCGGGGACACTGTAAATTGGTTTCAAGAAGTTGTTAGCAGCATACACACGCTTACCGTCAATAAAGCCTTGAGATGTTTCCAAGTCAGCTGGGTATGGTCCCAAACCTTGAGCCAGCTCGTTTAACCTTTTCCTGGAGAAAAAAAAAATTATATGGAATCGAAAGATGACCAACAATATTCACCTTTTTTGATCAATATTACAGAATCTCAATGGGGATGGCAGCGTCACGACTGTCCACTTTATTTTGATATTACTACCAATAACACGTCCTTATTAGTATAGGTAATAGCATGATTTGTAGTGATATTTGGCATAAATACCACGAGTGATATTTGGAAACTGTTATGCGTAATTTCACGAGCCATTAGGCGAGTGAAATTGAAGACAATTTTGAAATATCACGAGTGGTATTTATGCCAAATATCACAAATCATGCTATTATTTGTTTATACTACTACCCGAAAAAGGTTTCGTAATTTTCACATGTAGGTATTTCAAATTAAGCTGAAATACCACT